TTGGTCCTGCTAGTGAAGGCAGGGGGCTGGACTCAATGACCTTTCAGGGTCCCTTCCAGCTCTATGAGATAGGTGTAGCTCCATATATAAATAGACTCCCTTGAGCCAGTTTTAGATAGTGTCTAGTCCTTGTGCTGGGCTTCGGCACTGGGGTGAATTTCAACCCCAGTGAAACCCTAATTCTTCCTATTGGAAAATTGCCCCAAAGGAATCAACTTACTGTACATGATCCTTCGCAAGGAATACCAGCAAAAAGAACAACCTCCACAGCAACTCAAAACTGGTGTTTAGGGATTGTTGGGCTACTAAGGACCAGATGCCAAAGTTAGATATTATGAAACCCGCTGGGGTATGTCTACACTGCAGATGGGGTCGAGCTTCCCAGCCCAGGCAGACAGACACAGGCTAAAAATAGCTGTGTGGACATTGGGGCTGGGCAGAGACTCGGGCTAGCCACCCGAGCTCAGACACAGAGGGTCTGGACCAGTGTCCACACTGCTGTTTTTAGCATGCTAACCTACGCTGAGTTAGTGCAAATCTGACTACCCAGACTGGCTGCCAGCTGCAATGTAAATATACCCTTTGAAAACATACCTGGGATTGACTGGCCATGCAAAAAGGGTCTGCAATTCAAAGCTCTCCATTAGCCTGGGAGTGCATGAGCAAACAAACACTGGATACTGCATGTGATGTGCCAAACGTCGGGGACGAGAGAATCAACAGCATCTGCCACTGCCGGGGAGCCCATTTCATAACCACATCAGTGCTGTTAGTGTAATATCTAACTATGGCAGCCCCCTAAGTCTTGGATCAAGTGGGGGAAAATCGTCATAGGGAATAGCTATGGAGAGAAAGTCTTGCAAAACACTGGCCAACACTCGTTTACCTGCTTTATAGCAACCAGCACTAAAACTCCCCAGCATTTATAGTGAGTGTGACGCTGGCAGACCAGGTGCCAGCTCTTGCCAAGGCTTTCGGCCTCAGCCGAGCACTGACAAATTCATTGCTGGAAAACAGTCTGTTTCACTTGTGTGTTAACATGAGTAAAATGGGTACTGGACTTATAACTAAGGCTGTCATGGGGGTCAATGAGTCTGTCATGGAGGTCACGGATTCTGTGACTTTCCGTGACCTCTGCAGTGGCTGGTGCTGCCTCAAGGGCTGCCCGAGCTGGGCAGCCCCTGGGCCAGCAGCAGCAGTTTGGGTGTGTGGGAGGGGGCTCAGGGCTGGGGCAGGGGGGTGCTTACCTCGGGGCTGGGGGCTCCCACTGGCATGGTCCTGCAGCTCCTAGGTGGTGGGGGGGGGGGGGAGGGGGGGGGGGCGGCTCTGTGCTGCACGCTGCCCACACCTGCAGGCCCCACCCCCGCAGCTCCCATTGGCTGTGGTTCCCAGCCAATGGGAGCTGTGGCAGCCGGCGCTTGTGCCCCTCCGCTGCCTAGGAGCTGCAGGGAGGCGGAGCCAGGTAGGGAGCCCCTGCCAACCCCCCAGCACAAGTGGGGTCCCGGGCCACCTCCCCCAGCACCCACAGTGCCCCCAGACCGGCCTCCTCCCCAGAGCACCCATGGCCCCCTGCCCAAGTTTTAGTCTCAGGTATTTTTAGTCAAAGTCATGGACAGGTCACGGGCCATGAATTTTTGTTTACCGCCCGTGACCTGTCCATGATTTTGACTAAAAATACCCATGACTAAAACGTAGCCTTACTTATAACAGTATGTTTAGTGTGTAGGCTTTATGAAATGCTTGTAAATTGCTGCATGCATTAAGCTTATCATTTCTTTATCACATGCTATAAGGTAATATTGAAGTTTTTGATTTGTAACTGTAAAAATGTTTGCTGTGAAACTGCAAACCCAGTCAGGAGGGATCCTCTCCTGCCCATCAAGCAGGCCTATCAAAACTAAACGGGCCATGGTAGGGCATCACAATGCAAAGACTTTGCTAATTGCTCCGTATGCCCATGAAGAGGCTACCTGCAAAAAGGCTCATCCCATCAGCTTGAACTCTGGAAGAAGGACATTAAAAGAGCTGACAAGAAATTTTTTCATGTCTTTTGCTGTTTGGACTCTCACAGGGCTGGAGCTACGAAACAGAAGCAGAGATCCCCAGGGTCAACCTGAGTTAGACCAAAAGGTCATTCAGAGCTGACAGATTACTACAACGCTGTCACCTTTTGAAACCATACACTGTAACTCATTTGTGTATATATGTTTGCCTGCTTTAACCTTGTAATAACTCTCTCTGTTTTTTTCTTAATTAATAAACCCTTAGGTAATTTACTATAAGATTGGCTACAAGCTCCTGGAGCCTCTGACAGTCAACTGCAATCTCCAGCTGCTAAAAGTCCAGCGGTGCAGTGGGGCTAAGGCAGGCTCCCTGCCTGCCCTGGCCCTGCGCAGCTCCCAGAAGCAGCAAGCATGCCCCTGCTACCGGGGAGGGGAGAAGGGGTCTCCGCACGCTGCTCCTGCCTGCAAGCACCGCCCCCACAGCTCCCATTAGCCGGGAACGGGGAATGTGGCCAATGGGAGCTGCGGGGACGGTGCCTGCAGGGAGGGGCAGTACACAGAGCCACTTGTCCCCCCCGCCTCCCCACGGGCCGCAGGGGTGTACTCCGGGAGCAGCATGGGTCTGGGGCAGGTAGGAAGCCTGCCTTAGCCTGGCTGCACTGCTGACCAGGAGCCACCCGAGGTAAGTGCCGCCCAGCGGGAGCATGCACCCCCTTCCGCACACCAACCCCCAGCCCCCTCCCGGAGCCAGCACCCCATACCCTCTCCTGCACCCCAACCCCCTGCCCCAGCCCTAAGCCCCCTTCCAGAGCCAGAATCACATACCCTCTCCTGCACCCTGAACTCCCTCCTGTACCCCAACCCCTTGCCCTAGCCCTGAAGCCCCTCCCAGAGCTTGCACCCCTCATCCCCTCCCACACTCCAAACCCCTTGGCCCCAGCCCAGAGCTCGCACCCCCTCCCACACCCCAACCCTCTGCCCCAGCCTGGTGAAAGTGAGTGAGGGTGGGGGAGAATGAGTGACGGAGGGAAGGGGGATGGAGTGAGCAGGGCAGGGCAGATCCTGGGTTGCACTTAAATTCAAAAAGTTTTCTTGTGCGTAAAAGGTTTGGAGACCACTGGTGTATAGCAACCAACTGTCACTAAGTTCAGCTTGCCTGGCTGGCAAAACAGACTGGAATGCCCCAGGGAACGGTCTGTGACTCCACGGTAAGACTATTATCGTACTTAGGAGTTCATACTTGTTACTGGGTTGGTGAAACCTAATTATAGAACACACAACCTGTTTGGGGTCTCTGCCCTGCTTCTTGACTGTCTGCCCTGAGGCTGGCACTCACGGTTATGAGCCACTCCAGACGTGACAGAAAGCATGAAAGGACTCCACATAAAGGTATCAGAATCAAGAAACAATAGTGCAAAATGTACCCTAGTCACTGAAGGCATCACTTGGTCCAATGGGGCTGCCATCAAGAGTTAATAGGGGCCTGCAGAATGTTTACTTCTGATGATGATGCATGAGAAGGAAAGAAACCATTTTGATGCTTAGGGCAGGTCTTCACTACGGGGGGGGAGGGTGTCGATTTAAGATATGCAAATTCAGCTACGCGAATAGCGTAGCTGAATTCGGCGTATCGGAGCCGACTTACCCTGCTGTGAGGACGGCGGCAAAATCGACCTCCACGGCTCCCAGTCGACGGCGCTTACTCCTACCTCTGCTGGTGGAGTAAGAGCGTCGATTCGGGGATCGATTGTCGCGTCCCCACGAGACGCGATAATTCGATCCCCGAGAGATCGATTTCTACCCGCCGATTCAGGCGGGTAGTGTAGACCTAGCCTTAGAGACCAGGCTGAGCTTGAAGCTTGAGAGGTGGCAAACTGAATGCATCTGACATAGAAATCATCAAGACAATAACCATTAAACCTCACATGGTCACTTTTACAGCACCAGAGTAAACGGATGTAGCTCCAACAGAGCTATATTGATTTACACCAGCTAAGGTTCTGGCCCAAAGAGTCTCTTTTCAGAATAGAGCTGCTGGAGTACAATAAAATAAAACAATTCATGGAGTTCCAAACAAATGAACAACTTAACAGCAACCCCCTGCCCTCAGTTCAAACCCGGCTCTCAAAAATCTCATGCAATTAGTATGTTAATTATGTCCTTTAGAGAATATACTAATGCCCTAGCTTGAATGATTGGAGGATTGTTAAAAAATTCTACCCAAGAGGCTTGAATTTATCTGCATGTAATAAAATAATTTTTAAATGGCCAAAAGATGAGCTAAAGCATGTACACTTTTGACCCCTTAAGACTAGAATCCTTAAAGTTCACTACAATAAGAGAAAGAAAGAGCTCAGAGGAAAACAATGTACGTGATTCAAGGTTTAGAAAATAAGCTCTAGGGGGGAAGAACAAGGTATTTTCCGTCTGGATACAAGGACAAGGGATGGGATAAATCCAAGAGTTCTCAGGGAGTTTAAGACTGAAGTGGCTGAGTTATTAACAAAAATACCCAGTGTCTCAATATAAGCAGCTATTATTCCAGAGGGCAGCAATGTTAAAACGGTGCTACAGATGATCCTAATTACAGACTAATCAGCCTTTTGGTATCAAGTACATTAGTTACAGGAATTGCCAGATTGGATCAGATCTATGGTGCAGCTATTACAGCATCTGGTCTCTGACACTGGCCAGTACTAAATGCCTCAGAGTAAGGTTCAAGTAATCCAATAGTGGACAATTACAAAATAACTAGTCTATAAGAGAAATTTTCTCCTAACCTCCATCTGTTAGGGGCTGTTATAAAGAGACACAAGAACAACTAATTATTCTCACGACAGAATCAGCTTTGGACATAGACCAGTCAGCAAAGACGGACTGTCCATGGACCATTTACAGACATTCACCAATTATTCTAGGAAAGTTACAGGACGATCAAACTTTTTCCTCTAATAAAGTAAAGTATAAAGTTTTATTTGTAGAACAAAGACACTGATATATTATTAACACAGATGTATATGTAACATGAGGTTCAAGCATACAGCTGCTTTATCTTCTGAATGGATTGTTTCCACCAACCCTCCCAGCGTTGAGCCTTCATTAGCTGGGCTGTCTTTTCCTCCTTAATCTTCGCAAACTCCTCTTCCAGCTTATGCTTATATTTCTGAACAAATAACCAAAAAGAAGAAACTGGTTAAGATCAGATATATACCTCTACCTCGATATAACGCTGTCCTCGGCAACCAAAAAATCTTACCACATTATAGGTGAAACCGCGTTATATTGAACTTGCTTTGATCCACCGGAGTGCGCAGCCCTGCCACCCCGGAGCACTGCTATACCGCATTATATCCGAATTCGTGTTATATCGGGTCGCGTTATATTGGGGTAGAGGTGTACCTGCCATTTCTTTTAGTTTCTAACTCCATGCCCTGCCCTGCTGTGTCAAATGATTTGTGCACTGGCCACTGATTTTCCATATTTGACAACAGAGCTATACAGCTATTTAATTATTCATTGCCTTCTTTTCTTTCCTTTATTTAATGGGTACTGAAACAAACAAAATAAATATTTAAGTTTTGCTTTTAAGTATACATTGGGTTACAATGTTAGATGCTCTATCCCACCTCAGTGAGTTCATATGAGTAAAGATCTACCTGTTCTAGAAGGGGGAAGGGCTCTAAGTCTCAAATCTGCTTTTGTCCTAGAACTCGCTAAGGCAGAGAGACGAGCTAAACTGTGTGATGAAGCTGCTCGGAGGTACATCACCTAGACAGGATGGGGAAGTTGTGAACCTTCTACCATCATTAAAACCTCCAGACCAAACAAATGAGTTCTTGTTCTAAAAATGAAAACGGTTTTCTTGAACCTACACTTCATTGTTTCATTTTGCCTTCCAAAATATATTTTATTGTGCAGTATGTATGTACTATATGATACATATATTGATTAATATTACTCAGACACATCTATGCATACACCATGCCTACCTCACAGGAGTGTTTTGAGGCAAGTGCTTCATTATCATTACTACATATATAAAACTGACACCGTTTTATGGTCTTGCTACCTCTGCCGTAATATATATATATTTTGTACTCTCCATACAAAATGATTGTTGAAATAAAGTCACTTCCAGAACTGGCCCAGCAACGTTGATCTTTTATTCCCATGAGGACTTAAAGCACCTTTCCCCAGCTGCTGATTTTGCTATTCTTTGAGCTATTTGCAATGTGAGTTGGAGGGCTTTGAAGTAGTCTGGAATAGAATCTGTTCATTTTTCCTACTGGCCAAAGTGACGAGAGGGTGACCCTACTAGTGGCAGAAAGAGAAATCTGAGATGACTCAGGATTTAGGATGGAAATGGGAATGGATCTTACCACCCATTCCACTCCAAGGGAGAATTAGCCTTGTGATCCAAGACTGAAGTTGCAGACTTTGGGACGAGAAATGAGGGCTGTATTGAAACAGCATGAGGGGAAAATCCTGACAACACAGTTACTGTCCAAACTGTAATTCTATTGACATACATCAGTGATAATCTGTTCTGGCACCATTCATTGTTTTGTCCTATTGAAAAGTGGGGAAGTGCCTGATGGAAAAGGCTCTTAGCAGAAATCACTCAAGCACTTTCTACTTTTGTCACCATCATAAAGAAATGGAAATGAGGGGGGATTTCTAGTCACTGATTTTGACTATAATCTTTGAAAAGACTCGCAGTGTGCCTTGGTTGTATGAGCAGGTACATTTTCTTCTCTTATAGCCCCCTGAAATTACACCTCTCTCCCACACAAACCACATAGGCTGCATCTCTTGCTTCTTCTGCTGAAACATGACCCAGAGTAGTTTTGGCTGTTGTCACAGAGGCAGTTTCTCTGCAGAGAATATGGTCTGGAACGTCTGTAAGCGTGGTCTTGGGTATTCCTGGCCAGGTCCTTAAAACCACAAACAAGAAATTTTTTAAAAACTTTTTGGTGGAGGAGGAGGAGGAAGGGAGTAGAACGATTTTACTGCAAGTTATACCTAAAGAGGAAATACAGATTTTTTTTTTCCAGAAAGAAATCTTCACAAAAGCAGAATCTAGATTAATACTTGCCTTTCATATTCTTAGCCTGGGAGTGGGGAATTTAGTTATTAAAAAAAACTAGAACAAAAAAAATGCTTTGTTTTTGTTATGTGCGAATCCCATTGATTAATATGTGGTCACATGATCAAAACAGGTAGGGTTTGTCCCGAGGTCGGCATTTCCCCCCTCTCTGAAGTACATTAGTTACTAGAGAAACAACATCATAATTGTTGTGGGTAGAACTTAGGAAGTTCAACAAGTGTAGTGACATCAACAAGTGTAGTGGAAAACTGTGTGGACAGTACCCGGAAGCATTTTTGACAGAAAATGTGCAGAGAAGCATTCAATATATACTAGTGATACCTGCTGCCACGTTCAGTTAACGGCTTAACGTCATGGATCTCTAAAGAAAGCCCAGCTCGTTTACGACGGATTAAGGTGGAGATCTTCTCTTTCGGCATTTCAATTTCTGGGACACAGCAAATGACAGACTTAGTAACAGCGAGACAAGACCAGCTACATATCATTGCTCCAAAGCAACTGTACAAAGCTGGATACTTTTAGTTTTCAAGAGGTAACTTTGCAAGAAGTCAGTGGATCATCCGAATTCTTTCCTCTCCTATTCCTAAACCTCATCACCAGAGCACAGAAATAGTTTTCCAATTGACCCTAGAGCCCTGTTAATAGCATCCTGAACTGCCATGTGGTGGGATGAGGTGCTGGAACATCCTAAGGGCCAATTCTGGTTTGGTCACAAGACCCAGAGTAGGGGGTGGTAGAGGTAAAGATTCTGGGCTGCAAACTAGTTAACAGGCAGCCCTGGGAGGCAGCTGTAATTAGAGCAGCCGGGGGCTGTACCGGCCCCCATGGCAACTTAGAATCTTGAGTGCACAAACCACCATTGGACTCTCACCACTTCCTCCCCCTGGTCTGTGCAGTCTATGCTGCATCTCCAAGGGGCGCAGCACAGAACCTCACTTACAGTGTCAGTCAGGGAAGAAGGGAAGATGCAAATATGTCGCTCTCAAGAACTTGATCTGAAACCACAAACTCTAAACTTTTACTGATAGTTAGTCTGATAAGCAACCAGAATAGCACCCATCCAAATCTCTGGGTACTTTTAACTAAATTTAAATTGCATAAAACTTCCCTTGAAACCTTTAGACAAGGAACACTATAAGAAAAAAATCAATGGATGACAGCATTTGGCATTACAAGTTATTCAGTATAATGAAATATAGTTATGAAAAGCAATAGGCATATGCAATTCTAGAAGGAATAGTGCAGAAGATTACAGAAGGAACTCTATTTCTCCTTTTAACAACATTTTACTTAAAGCATCAAGAAGGAAGTGGAGAACTGGGTAAGTGTTCCATTCAGTTGACTTACTTGCTACTTGTACATCATCAACGGTGATACTTTCATCTAACTCCAGAAGCAGGTTTTCTGTGAGGCTAGCTAGCGCAGAAACAAATTTCTGGGCACACTCAGCAGCACAGGCCTGTGGGGACACAGTTATCAGTTAGGATTCGAGTATGAGTGGAGATGGGAAAAGTTCTCCCTCCAAAGAATCTCATCTCCTTTCAGAGCAGCTCTGAAGAGTTACACAGCTCTCCAACCTCGCTTTTGTGCAACAGCTACAGAGCAGCACTTTATGAAAAGCTCACAGAGTGGCCCCTCTGGAATGCTCCTAATGCAAACATGTCACTGATCAGATTGATGTAAATTATTAAATGGCATAAGAAGATCTGTGTAGTTAGACAGAATCTGCCCAAAGAGTTGCACAATATGATTAATCAGAAAACCGAAACATCCACAGGGAAAACACCCATCACCTGCTGCTATTAAGATAGCTAACCAGGAGATGTCACCATTACTCCATTCTCACACGCCGTCACTACAACACTAGTTTCAGAACCAAGATTATCATCATTATGGGAGTAGACAAACGCAAGTTCATCCCTTTCCTCAGTTTGCACTGTGAATAAATACCCCATGGAAACAACAGATTGACTACAATCTTAGGAAGAAAGCATGGTCTAGTGGTGACAGCACAGAATTAAGAGTCAAAAGATATTGTCTTTAATGGGGTTGCCTAAAACTAAAAATCTTTTCCAGTTCACTTTTAATGGGGAGGTAAAATGCATCCTAAACTCCAACCTCTGACCTTGAGCACGAAATCAAATAGGTTCTAACAAGCCACAGTCTAGTATGTCACTCATACCTGCAGTTTCTGAGTGTTAAAGAGTATCCCATCAGCTTGGTCTTTTTGTCTTCTTAACTCCTCCTGGCACAAAACCTCCAGCTGGGGTAAGTTGTCTGGGTGCCCCAGAGCTGGACGCAGTTTGTTCTTGTTCTCAGCCTTTAATCAAACAAACACATCACTAGCATTTTCTGTAAAGAATGTGTGACTGGGTCCTAGAGAGAAAGAGGGATGAGTAGAAACACAACTCTTTTGTGCATCAGTTGTAACAGGGTGGCATGCTCTTTAATGGCTAAAGGCTTGGGGCTAGCCAACCCTAGTTACTAAGGAGATACACCTGAGCAGGGATCAGCTGATTCCCCTATAAAGAACAGCAACAAGCTGCATAGAGAGAATCCACAGGTAGATCAGAGTGGGGACAGAGAGATGACAGAGGGTGAGGGAAGCAGGTAGGCTCCAGCAGAGAACCCTGAGACATCAGTGACATTGTGACGCTTCTTAGGGGTCTCCCGGGTTGTGAGGCACCTCACTATCACCTACCCTTAGCATGAGGAAATCTTGTTGTACCTACTGTGGGTCAGACCCTTAACTCCACCGGCCTCTGGCAGCACTAGCATTGTCCTCCAGGCCTTCGCTGGCCTTGCTCTTGCTGTACAGGTTAGCAATAGGCACACAACACCACCCATTCCTCTGGAGTGCCCAGCCCCGATCCTCTGAATATTCACAGAACTTCCAGATTCTCTACTCCCAAAGGAACAGTGCACACAAGCTTACTAGTGTCAACTAAGGATCACCACTCCGCTTAACACACAGCACTTAGAGATATTTATAGTGAAAACAAGAATACGTTTTTTTTAATCAAAGAACAGAGATTCATATGGACAGCAAGTAAAAATACTGGAAACAAAACAAAATCATAACATGCTTTTGAAAGCCTGAACTTACCTCCAGGTTTAACTATTCTAATTAAAAATCTGAGACTGAAACTAGGAAATGAAATCAGGGGGTGGTTTAGGAGTCAGTGGCGTAAGCAAGCAAATGAGTTTAATGTAAATGACAATAACATGTTCTGTCAGACAGCGGATACTTTATACCGGAGGTATTCCAGCATGCCCATAAACCATACCTTTGCATTGTCCCATTCTTCCAGCTGTTCTTTGAAGAGTTGCCGGATCTGATCAGTGGAGTGTCTGAGCTGCTGCTCATGCTCTTTAAGAAGGCTGTCGATAACCAGATGGGAGACCTGAGGGAGTTGTTCTTCAAACAACTTCAACTGATCCCAGAACTCTGGTGGAAAAGGCAGCCACAGGAAGGTTTGTGTCACATACAGACACTGACGTCAAGGAACCAGAAAACAAACAAACTAATGTATAGTATAAGTGCCAAAAGTGACTGGAATTTTCTTTCACACACACACTCCTCTTTGTGTCCACTGGCCCAGGACCAGTGGCTGGCAACACACACAAGTCCTGAAGCATTTGTCCAGGTCTTTCAATTAAATATCTTTGCAATGGTCTTTCTCACATAATTTTAGTAACTGACAGTTACCCCAGTTACAGGTAATTGGCCCAATTCTGGTCCCACAGAAGTTAATGAGAGTATTGCCACTGACTGGAGTAGAAACATAACTAGGCTTTAAAACTTTGCACAATTTGAAAGCAGAGATTCCAGCCTTTTCAATGATAACAGGACCTTAAATTTATACTAAGCCAACCCTGGTACCTTCTTCTTCCATTGGCATAGGCCCAAGACTGAATTAAGAATACTCTGGACTTCTGATCATTTCAGTTTTCAATTCCAATTGATACATATGACAAAGTATTAGGTCCTAGGATTTTACCTATTAGGCAGGAATTATGGTAATCATCCGTCTGGCTCTGATAAGACAGGAGCTTCTGCCCAAACAATTCTGCACAATGATCAAATGTCTCTTGCAGATATTCCGGCCTCGTGATTTGATGCTTATCCTTTCGGTAAAACTCCTTTGGAAGGTAAAGACGAGGTAAAGAAAAGGACTTGACGAAGTGTCCAATCTAAGAGTCACCACTGCGAACATATCAGTACAGTGGATCTTTAGGTCTTTCAACCTCCCCTTCATTCTGTGCCACCTTTATCCTCCCCCACTTGAGCTTTACCGGCAGCTTTGACCTGAGCTCAGACAGGGAATGTTTGCTGAGAATGCAGATTCATTACCAGATATCAGGCGTTTTGTCAAACCTCTTTCCCTTGTAACTAGATCACATCCAGTCTCCGCTCTCAGCTTTCCCAATCATCTTGTTATTAAGGTGATGCTGTAGTCTCTGAATTCACGACACTGAGATGTGGTTATGGCCATTAAAAGCAGGGCATTTTGGTATATTTATAATAGGCTGTAAAAAACTGAGACCAAGACTTTTGCACCTCCATTTTGTCGTAATCTGAGCCTACTGGCTGACCCCGTTACAACTAACAGGGTTTGAGTTGTGTTGGTAGTGAGGCCTTTCTATCATATAACTATGGCAGAGGTATGTATATTCATCCACACCTGCTATTCTGCCAAACAGGGATGGTATAAAGTTTAGTTATTGTTTGTACAGAACTTTAAGATATAAAAGCAAATGCATGTATTAAGTATTATTATTATACACTGGATGCACTAATAAAGTAAGAAAAATTATTGTGGAGTTCCATTGCAACATAGTAGAACCAAATTGCTAAGCTACTACAGGAGTAAATCTGCAATAGTAGAAATTGACTGCAGAAAATAAAGTTTTCTTACCTCAGCAAGATACAGCAAGGTATCATTACCCTCCCAGAGAATACAGGTGATAATCCCCTTAAAATGACTGAAACCAAAACACAATGACAATGCAAAAAGTACTTGGTACTGGGAATATTTCTGACTTTTTAAAACATTTTATCTCATTGAATATGAGAGGTAAATATATTAAAATAAATCATAAATACAATGTAAATAACATATATTTGTACATGTTGCTGTAAGAATGCCTAAGATGACACCATCCCTCTTGGTACAGCTCCTCTTCAAAGCAAGCAAAGACAAGAGTAAAATGCACGTACAAAAGCCCATGCAGAAAATATTAGGTGTAGCACAACAAAAAAGCCAAAACCAGCTAAATTTCTACGCTAAGGGGCATACATAATATAGTTCTATAGCTTCCATCATTATGCTTTTTGACAGGTTACCACTCCTTCTCCTTTTGTGTCCCACCCCTTTTTATCCAATGCATCAAAGGATATAAAACAACCACACCTATAATTAACACTTCACGTTTATTCCATTGTCATTAAGACTGTACAACTGTCTAATCTAGCTTTACAAAAATAGCAATTTAACTGTGTATTAGATCAATACTTTAGGAAATACAGAGCAAACTTACTCAGATTCTTTAGGCTTCTCTCCAAAGATGTGGAACTTCTTGTCAATTCGACCAGATCTCGAGTATTTTTGTATGCTGAAAAGGCAAAGATTTTCTACTTTATTCAAAAGAATTCAGACTTTTAATACATAGTCTCTCCCTCCCCTCCCCCCCAGCCAGTTGTTTATGATACTACGGTCATATAAACTTTATCAAATTACAAAAAAAAGCTGTGAAGATTTTCATGCCCCACATTTATATGACATGAAAATTATCATCTGATAGAGACGTTCTCAGGATTCTGCTTCCTATGGGCCTTCCAGATCCTCCCTTTCCTGACCTTCCTTTAGAACAGATGATCCAATACAAGATATTACCTCACCCACCTTATCTCGCTAATATCCTGCGATCAACATCGCTACAACTACACTGCATACAGATTAGCATCTAGCCACAAAAATGCCCATTTAATGTGTTTAAGAGCCAAGTTGAGTTTCCAAAATAGGACATCCAGTTTAGGCACCCACATTTGAAAATTACGATACCTGTGCTGTCTGTGCTATCAATAATATACACACACATCCATATATTTGGAAATTACACTCTGTTTTTATATTACATACACACAACTTTGTATAGCATCAACCTGCATCCCAAAACACTTTGTATTAACTGAAATAGGAGAGAGAGAGAGAAATTAATAGGTAGAGGTGGGGTTTGAGATGTGATTTGAAATGAGAGCGAGCTGATAAGGCACAAACACACAGCGCAGCTGTTCCACATGGTAGGCACCACTGGGGAAAAGGCTCACACCAACGGTAGTGAGAAAGTGTGGGAGGATGGAAAGCAGGCTAGTGTTAGAGGGAAGTAGACACAAAAACACACACACAAGATGCTGGAGTTTCTCTTTCCATAGTCCTTACCTCCCCACTGAGAACTTTTTGTTTACAGAGATAGACATCTTGGGTCCTACAGATAAATTGCCATAAGGAACAGAGTTCTGGGGACCTTCAGCATGCAGATTTGAAACAGAACCTCTCTGTGCTGTGGGAGCCTGATAAGTTGCTTGATAAATCGGCTGATAAATGGGTTGATAAATCGGCTGATAAACGGGTTGATAAACGGGTTGATAAATCGCTTATAAGGAAAGAGGAAATAAATTCTGTAAGCCAAATTCGAAGTCATTTCTATACATTTATACAGCATGTGTTTTCATTTCCATGCTGAGTACTCCTAACATTAATTGACACTAGTGAAGAGAAAACATCAAGATGTTTCTAAATTGGATTCAGCACCCAGAAGTCTAGGTGCTAATCTATGCAGGATGTAGGTATGTTGGCCCAGCAGGTGCCCAGGGAAGGGCTCCTTGCATCACCTTTGGGTAGGGAAGCGGTATGAGCCTCTGCCATTCCTGGCTTCCCTCCAGCCCCATCCCATCTCTATGCTCATGGGAAGAGAATCTAGAAACTAGGAGCTGCCCTCTGCACCAAATGCAGGCCCAAGATCCAGGTATATCTCACAAGGTGAGAAAGGGCTCAGGGGTTTCATTCCCTTGCAGGGCCATTTAAGACAAGGGCACAATCCAGCCACAAGAGAATAGTCTACTTCACTGTGTTTTGGTATTTCCACTTCAGGTCCTGAACTAAATTAGGAACAAAAGCAAGTGGAAAACACACAGAGTAGTTAAGCAAACAGTTTCTGAACCTCAGAAAGATTTGGATGAAGATATGAGCATATTTTTGTCTCATCCAAACCAATTTGTCCCTGCCTGATTAGATGCTTCTTTCATAAGAGGTTGGTTTCTTCTCTGGCTACAGCTCTCAGCTTTCACTTTTCACACCAGAGTTTAAATCCAACTTGAAGTACTAAGTGACCTGAGTTTGATGGCCTCAACTCAGTCTCTGGTGAATGGGTGTCCTTATAAAACTACCACGTGTTTGACACCAATGGCAGTGTCTGCTTAAGGGAGGCTCAGAAATGAGAAGGTATGGCTAGCCCAGAGTGGACTCTCCATGTCAGAGGGAGATTATTGATTAGGCAGCCTGAGAAAGCTCATATTGCATCATGTCTAGGGCCAAGGCAAGGATGTGGGAAGAGGGATTACTCTATCACTGGATCTCCACCACGGGTACCTTTTCAAAGTGCTGCATGGGGTTTAGTTCTAAAAGTCCTATTAACCTCCATGGAAGTTATATGGAGAGCTGCCACTTTCAAAACCACAATGGAATTACATGAACAGCTGTCACATACACTTTACCTAAACCAACATAATCCTTCATTTAAAACAAAACAAAAACAAAAAATAGAGAGAGAATATCACTGCCTTCTCCTAAGGGAGTATATATGCACTCACATAAAGATACAGGGATAAGTTTTGTCCCCTGTACACTGGCACATATGGTTGGGGACAAAGAAAGAGTGTGCAGGGGGCCTCTTTCCTTCTCATAAGCAGCAGGACAGATTCATCCAAACCTCTCAAGACAGCACTAGGAGATATGGCTATCCAGTATGTTTCCCTGCACACCATATCTCAAAGGATGTCTGGTGCGCACAGACCCAGTCAACTGGCATGTATGATGCAAACAAGAAAAAACATGGCCTGTAGTAGGCTGATATGTACTTTATTCCTGCTCAGAGGTATAAATATATAGTCACATATTAAGAGTTGTCAGTTAAAATATATATTTCTTTCTGTCAATCCATAAGAAAGAGAACTTCAGCAGTAAAAGGAGTGCTTGCATACCTCCTGCTACTGACTGTGAGCGATCATCTCTCTCATGCCGCAGTTCTGGAGATTTCTTGGGTTGCTGAATTCTGAAACAAAAATTAAGAGCTATGTAGCTTCTAAATACCCAGCTACCAGTTCTCTATCGTTGTCATGGTCTGAGAGCACTTTAATCTCTGAGATACTGCCTAATGTTAGGGCTAAATTTACAAAGGCATGTCTAACTGCAATAATTTGCACGAGAACAATTCAAATGATGTAGTATAATTGAAAATTAGAAGTTTCTGCAAGCACAATTGTGCACTCAAACATGCTATTGAAAAGGTCTGGAGCTTGCCATGTCACACCATCCCCTGTCTAATTATTCATTAACGTTTATACATTTTCCTCATATGTTTACCTTTATGTAACATTTTATCTCTCGTTAATTCAAACAATGCCCTCGAAGCCAGAAAACTAGTACTCAGTTAACATCTATTTTTACAGCACTTTAGTTGAACTAGTGAAATTTAATTGAACTAGTGAAACCTGAGCCGTCCTTTGTAGGTGACAAATCTGAGGAATTCTCACAGATTGAAGTGTCGCTAGAGGAGGTTTTGGAATTGATTGATAAATTTAACAGTAACAAGTCACCGGGACCTGATGGCATTCACCCATGAGTTCTGAAAGAACTCAAATGTGAAATTGCGGAACTATTAACTATGGTTTGTAACCTGCCCTTTAAATCGGCTTCTGTACCCAATGACTGGAAGATAGCTAACGTAATGCCAATATTTAAAAAGGGCTCTAGAGGTGATCCCGGCAATTACAGACCGGTAAGTCTAACATCAGTACTGGACAAATTAGTTGAAACAATAGTAAAGAATAAAATTGTCAGACAAATAGAAGAACATAGATTGTTGGGCAAAAGTCAACATGGTTTCTGTAAAGGGAAATCATGTCTTACTAATCTATTAGAATTCCTTGAAGGGGTCAATAAACATGTGGACAAGGGGGATCCAGTGGACATAGTGTACTTAGATTTCCAGAAAGCCTTTGACAAGGTTCCTCACCAAAGGCTCTTACGTAAAATAAGTTGTCATGGGATAAGAGGGAAGATCCTTTCATGGATTGAGAACTGGTTAAAAGACAGGGAACAAAGGGTAGGAATAAATGGTAAATTTTCAGAATGGAGAGGGGTAACTAGTGGTGTTCCCCAAGAGTCAGGCCTAGGTCCAATCCTATTCAACTTATTCATAAATGATCTGGAGAAAGGGGTAAACAGTGAGGTGGCAAAGTTTGCAGACGATACTAAACTGCTCAAGATAGTTAAGACCAAAGCAGACTGTGAAGAACTTCAAAAAGATCTCACAAAACTAAGTGATTGGGCAACAAAATGGCAAATAAAATTTAATGTGGATAAATGTAAAGTAATGCACATTGGAAAAAATAACCCCGACTATACATACAATATGATGGGGGCTTATTTAGCTACAACTAATCAGGAAAGAGATCTTGGAGTCATCGTGGATAGTTCTCTGCAGACGTCCACGCAGTGTGCAGTGGCAGTCAAAAAAGCAAACAGGATGTTAGGAATCATTTAAAAAGGGATAGAGAATAAAGACAGAGAATATCTTATTGTCCTTATATAAATCCATGGTACACCCACATCTTGAATACTGCGCACAGATGTGGTCTCCTCATCTCAAAAAAGATATACTGGCATTAGAAAAGGTTCAGAGAAGGGCAACTAAAATGATTAGGGATTTGGAATGGGTCCCATATGAGGAGAGATTAAAGAGGCTAGGACTTTTCAGCTTGGAAAAGAGGAGACTAAGAGGGGATATGATAGAGGTATATAAAATCATGAGTGGTGTGGAGAAAGTGAATATGGAAAAGTTATTTACTTGTTCCCATAATATAAGAACTAGGGGCCATCAAATGAAATTAATGGGCAGCAGGTTTAAAACAAATAAAAGGAAGTTCTTCTTCACACAGCACACAGTCAACCAGTGGAACTCCTTGCCTGAGGAGGTTGTGAAGGCTAGGACTATAACAGGGTTTAAAAGAGAACTAGATAAATTCGTGGAGGTTAAGTCCATTAGCTATTAGCCAGGATGGGTAAGGAATGGTGTCCCTAGCCTCTGTTTGTCAGAGGGTGGAGCTGGATGGCAGGAGAGAGATCACTTGATCATTACCTGTTAGGTTCACTTCCTCTGGGGCACCGCACCTGGCATTGGCCACTGTCGGCAGACAGGATACTGGGCTGGATGTATCTTTGGTCTGACCCAGTATGGCCATTCTTATGTTCAAATTCTATCACTACCATTGTGACAGTAAGATAGATATTTCACAACCTAAACTCCCTCAGGAAGAGGCAGAAATCCCATTGCTTGGGACTTTTAAAACTAGACTGGACAAAACACATGAAAAAGTACTGCATATAAACTTCTCCATCCTGCACTGGCACAGAAATGGCCCGGATGATTTAAATTCAGTGGGATCTTTATGTGCTACCAGAACACAAGTAGTAAATATGTATTTGAATTGCTTGCACTGCCTCCTGTGCACAACATGACAATAAGATGTACATACAGTGAGCAAAAAATTAAATAAGTTAAAGGAATAACATCTTTAGGCTCTGAGAGCATTTACTTACTGGAGTAAATTTTTGATGACGCTTACTGCTACATCATCAATTACTGACTTTCCAATTCTGCTTGGATTCAACAGTGGAACATTGTCTATCCCCATAACCATCCTACTCTCCTCTTTGAGACTCTCTGATCGGACTGCAGCTGCAATGGAACCTCGTAATGCAAACTCTGTCTGAGCTGGGATGGGGTCCTGGAAGTGGAGGAAAACAAAATCAGATATTACTAAAGAGAACAGGCAGTTAGTTATACTGTTCCATGGAGGTGCCGGCTACCAACCCTGTTGCCCCACAGGCTAGACGAAAGAGTTTTATAACTTGGAAACATTTCCTATCGATTTTTCCCCTTTCTGCAGCTATGAGAGGTTGAGAGTTACGTATTACTATAATTATTACAAGCAATCTTCAAATAAATATAATTAATAATAATGATGCCTTCTAGTTTACAAAATAAAACACTCTATAAAGATGATGTACCAACAAATAAGATTAATCACCTGATACAAAATCTGCTATCCAGTCAAAGCCTTCAGCAAGCGCATCTGAATTCCTTAAAGAAACTTTTAAAAACACACTCAAAACACACACACGCATGCACAAGCACAACCTCTCATTAAGGATCATCTCCTACAAAGTGCTGAGCATCTCCGGAGTAGTCTGAGCACCGTCAACACTTGGTAGCCTCATTGGTGGTTGAAGGCACTCAGTACCTTGCAAGATTGGGCCCTGTATCACCACCTCTTGGGCAGCTTGTGATCATTTGAAATTCAATAGCATACGTACGTTTTACATGAAAATTCAAAATATGGATTCTGAAAACCTTTTAAAATACAGGCGTAATCAAAATAGTTTGGGTGAATTTTACTATTCAAATGCAAAGAGTATATAAAATACAGAGATTCCAGCTAATGTTATCTTACAGTACAGAAGGGGATGATCGTATTTACCAGCAGGCAATTGAGATACTTGCTCCTTTTTTTCAGTTCTTTCATCACAGTTTTGGCAACGTCATACAGTTCTTCCGAAGTCACAGCCTAGTTAAAAAGCAAGGATAATATGGATAGTATTTTGCTCAACATGGTAGAAAATTTAGAATGTACCAAACATGTTGACATATCAAATCTGTCTGTCGAAGATGTTTCTAATCTGTTCTATCACTTTTGTATCTAGGCAGGCGTGGAAACCAGGGGATCAATTAACTGCCTATAGAAGCTGATGTTTTTCTTTTTTGAAAATAATTTTGAGTGTGAACATGCTGCTCAGGAAAATGAAGGATTTGTGGTTTTAGTGTCTCTACCAATGCAACTTCTCATGACTCTTATCAGCTGTGATATAGTAGGGGGAGGAAGCATGGAGAAGGAACTTTGTTGTATTAATATCAATGGAATAAATGGACCCTGAGAGTCAAAGGTGTTACTGACCCCGTCACTGAAAAAACACTAAACAGCTTAACATGATTCAGGGTTTTGAGTAGAGAGACCTCAGCCTTCTTAGCCAAGGGCAACAAATGTCATTAAAATCATTATAACCTTTTTATTAAAGATATAGAAAAAGGAAGGAAAAACAGTTAAATCATTTAAAATGTAAAGTAGTAAGAAAAGTTTTCATTTTAAAAATATCCCTTATTCTTTTTTTAAACTGTAGAGCGTTTTTGTAGTGAGAACCTCCTGTTTGACACCTTTTAGATGGTAATAACTGTCCTTTTTGGGAAAAAGAGAAAAAACTAGCTGAGATGGTCTGGAACTGATGTTGCTGTTGCTGAAATCCAGTCCTGTTTCCTTTAAGACTACACAAAACAAACACACACAGAAGGGGACAACAAAGACAGAAAATGCAGCATCTGTCTCTGGTGTTGACTTTCACCTGCAACCTCACTGCTAGAGAAACACATGGCTTCATCAGCCACTCCAAGACCTGGCAAACTTCTTGTTTAGGGCATTGGTTTTAGCTGCCTCATTGGTCACGGGCTCACGGCAGTGTTGTGATAGAGATAGTCTTGGTCAGCTAAGCCAGACTCTTATTAAACAGAAGGCAAAAAAGAGAGATATAGGAAAGAGAAGAAATAAGGTGGGGAAGGTAAAGGACACATGACACATTCCAGGGGTTGATGTGTGGGTCCCTTTTTCTGGCCTAGTCTGGCCAGGACATCTCTCGGGATCAGGTTGATGAAGGTCCAATGGTATCATGGTGGACCCTGCGTCATAGGAGATGATAGGAGTGTCAGCCATAATGATAAAGCTAATTCCTTTCAGTCTACTTCTCCTTCATCCTGACATCTTCATTCCCTCCCCTGTCTCTTTTTAAGGACCCCAAAGGGAATAATGGGTGGAATAGCCATCCCCTCATTATTTTGTTAACCAACTAAGACTTCCTTCCAACACACCAATTTTAGTTAATTAATTTCCGATTCCATTCTCCTTTGTTCATCAGTCATGATCTTAACACAGTCCTTGGGTAGTGGCAGTAGACTTGTGTGTCTGGCTTTCTTCAAGTTTGACTTTCTTCAAGTTTTGCTGACTTTTATAAACAATTTTATGTAACAGGCTGAGTTGGCCTTTTGGTACCTTGGACACCTTAGAGTAAGACCTCTGCACAACAGCTTCTTGAGCAAAGAATGCCATGTCAAATTGTTTGATGTGTTCAAATGGAGACTTATTTTAGGATGAACTAATTTTCACTTATGAACAAGGTTAAATTTTAGAATTTCAACTCAGTGCTCCCCAATTGCCTGCCTATGCACTAACCTACTGTGCCACATGATCCTGAATGTAGCTGATTTTTTATTATGAATTTTTCCTTTGTTAAACAGTAGGCAGCCTCAAGAATCTGATAGTTCACTGTTCCAAAATCAGGTAAGAAGGCTTTCGGATAATTTAAAGAGGATTGATTGGCATTGCCAGTTTTTCAGCCTCATTACCAAAATTAATGTTTCTCAAAAGCTTTATTTATAGTCTTTGGTATTTTTCTTGACTTTTAAAAAATAAAATCTATATATTTATGTGTGTGCCCTTCTCCCATTGCTGGTTTGGCAATATCCTCCTTTTCCCTCTATAGTTCAATACAATATATGATGCCAGTTTGACTACAATGAACATGGTGAATACTAACAGACTCACACAATCATGCACATCATACAATTACATGATGTGTCTTTGGAACTTACTTCTTTATCCACAGTAGGATGAGCACAAGCATCTATTTTCTTAAGGAATTTCTCCAGAGAGGAGTTTAATGTCTGTGCCTGTAAATTGGAGTTTGCCACCTAAAACAGAAGCAGATGTTAGTGAAATGAAAACTCAGTTGAGATAAATGAACACTCAAACATTTATAGAACTATCAAAAGATTTCTCCAGGAGAGAGCAAGCACAGAGATCCTCATGAAAGAGCACACTATTTATTTTCAAAGAACAAAAACATTGAATCACTGGTACCCAAAATGGAAGCCAAATTCAATGATTCATAACAGCAACTCTTTTTTCATGGCCTATATTGCATCAAGCAGATGGCTGGTCTATTTAGTTGTAGGTGGTTAGAGTGAAGTGCTGCAAACCCAGGGCGTGATCCTACTCGACTACAACAGGAGCAGGATTGGGTCCTAGATCCCTAGATTCAAGGCTGGCAATGGCAGAGGAAAACACAGTCCTTAAATAATAGATAAAAACACTGTACCTATGTCCCATCTGTGTGTTTGCCTCTTCAAACCAAGCCAAAAACCCTTTGGATAGAATAAGTGAGATATATAAATGATTGAGATTGAACCAAACTAAAGTTCTGGAATTTGTATTTGTACCTCTGATTTGATTTTCACTTGTAGATTTGTTAGAAACCGCTGGATTTTCTCCATGAAGAGACGATCCATTGCAAGATTATGGAATTTTGTTTCAAACTTGTTGATAACCTCAGTAGCCTCAAAAACAAATGCCAAAAATCAGGAGATAAATCAGACTTAAACTTGGCCTGCTTAGCCTTTAATAATAACACTTAGCATTTATATAATGATTTTCATGTCACACAAACATTAACTAAATCTAAGAGTGTCTCACAACGAAAATCTATTAACACGGGGGATTAGTAACACGGGGGATTAGAATGGTTACACTAGCTGCAGCCAGGAATTTGAACACTAGAAGGGAATGAAGATCTGCCTACTTGCTCTAAGTAGTTTGACTCCATTTTCTCCATATCAATCATGATTAAGCCTTCAATGAAGTCAATGCGTCCTGTTTCTTTCTCCAGACGCTTACAAAAGAACTCCACCTCTTCTGGAGAAAAGTTACCTCCCTCTGAAAATAATCTGAAAACAATAGGTGAGAAAGGAAAGTAATTGTCTTAGGGTTCTTCCACCTCCTCAAAAGAATCCTTAGCTGAACAGTCCCTATTATATATATTTTTTCATGGGATGAAAACACTATTATAATATTAGTAGTATACTTTTTTAAAGGATGAACTTGAATTTTATTGTGCTGACTTGACAATAAATTACAGAATGTAGGTAAGGAGACAAGGAGAGCGAGAGAGAAATAAAACTATACAAGCCAGGCGAACAGAGATTGATATAGAAATAAACACACTCACACCTCTCCCTTATACCTGCAAGCTTTAAGAAAGTCCACGTTTGAATCTCGTAGTTTCCCCAAGGCTTCTTCTAAATAGTTCCGGTAACTCCGCAGGGATATTTGGATAACTTCTACATGATTAAGCAGCTCTGAGTGCAGAGAGTTGCTTAGAGCAACCAACCTAAGAGCAAATAACAAAAGACAGCTTTTTCAGGGAAATCTATGGGAGAGTAGACATTCCTTTTCAAAAGCTGCTGGGTCTTGAAGAGAGCAGAAGAATGAGAGTTTAATCAGCGCGCTTCTGCTTCCCTTCCATTGGGAATGTTTTGATGCGGCAGCATACAGCAGACACACTACTAGCAAACACTCAGTGCTATGGAAGAGGACTCTCATAACCTAACTTGTCAATTGCTACTAGTGTACAGGATAGGTAGCATGGATAAAATCTGGATAGATGAAACAAACTTTTTCTACTTTATTCTAAAATTTTTATAAAATTCACAAATGACTTTAGTTTCTTAGCAGGGAGATAAAGAAACCCTGGAGAGGTGTTGGTCTTGAGATATTAACTTCCACTTCTGCCGAAGGGACCTGGAGTAACTGACTTCACAGGACCTGGGGTTTCTAGGTTTTACAGTGCACTGAGAGAGGAAACAGAGAGTCTAACTGAGTTAACCAAAGGATTCTTTGTAACAAAGACTCTCACTCAAAGGAATGGAAACTAAAGTGAGAAAAGCATTCCATGTGTCTCCCTTGCAAAGGATATTAGGGAAAAAAGAACTCAGCATAGCCCAACCTTTATGTTTATTCCATACTTTGGGCACCATCACAGTTGTGAGAAATAGTTGTGTGAGCTAAGTTAGTACATACACACATGGGCGCACACAAATCAATGAATGTAAATGGAATTTTCCTCTTATTTATTTACACTCTGTCATTTCCATTCGTTATTTCATTTTTGCCCAAACATTACTGGAGATGCCTTCTAGTATCCTTGGGGATGATAAAAAGTGTTTATATTTAGTTTTATTTTTCACATCATCGTTCCCCTCATTATTATAATTGCTCTAAAACATGGCTGACAAGCCTAAAAGTAGCAGAAGAGCAATAAATACTGTACTAAGGCTGGATAATGATAAAAGTCTCAGATACATGAGCTTTTTGATCTCAGTGTGTTCAAGTAACTGTTACTCTATGCTGAAGCTTTTCTGTTTTAGATTACAGATTTACAGGGTAATGTGACTGTATATTAGACAAAAGAAGATTGTCCCACTCAGAGTTATTGACCAGCTGAAGGTGGACAGGGCAATAATTAGGTCAAATGATCCTACCTCAGTCAAATGAGCTGCCTGGCAATCAAACAGTAAGATAAATGCTTCAAACTATCCCAGTGAGAGAATGACAATGATACCTGCTGCTGTTCACGAAATCTGGGATAAGGCAGATTCAGGATGCAGTCCAGGAGTGGGAAACCTCACAAATCAAGAGACTCACAATGTGCTTACTTTTCAGCCTTAGTGGAACTGAGGAAGATGGCCTCCATGTCCTGGATCCTTCTGCGGAAGTTCTTGCTGATGTCATTTTGGTCCTCTCGGAGTTTCATAAACTCATTTTTCTCCTTGTTCAGAGCTTCCACCACCCCTGCACAGTGACACTCCAGACGCTCTTGGTGAAGAAGCAGCTCCGCTGAGAGGAAAGGAAGTACTCTTATATGGCCATCACCTCAAGCTTGGATTGAGCCTGAGCATAACAACATGATCTATCCTGATTTCCAACACAAGTGACTATGGCTTACCCCAACAACTAGCCTCTACGCTCAGTAGAAGATGGCTGGTGGTGTGAAAACTTGTAGATTTTGGGGGGGAAGGGAGTAGTCTTGTTAGTCTGTATCAGCAAAAACAATGAGGAGTACTCGTGGCACGTTAGAGCAGGGGTTGGCAACTTTCAGAAGTGGTGTGCCAAGTCTTCATTTATTCGCGGTAATTTAAGGTTTCGCGTGCCAGTAATACATTTTACATTTACAGGGGCCGGCGGATGGAACCCCAGACTGGCAGCGGGCTGAGCAGACTGGCGGCTGGGACCCCAGGGCCGGCAGCGGGCTGAGCCGCTCAGCCACTGCTGGTCTGGGGTTCCGTCTGCCGGCCCCTTCCAGCTGGGGTCCCAGCTGCCGGCCCCGCTCAGCCTGCCCGGGGTTCCGTCCATCCAGGCCGGCAGCGGGCTGAGCGGGGCCGGCAGCAGGGCCTCCAGGCCAGCAGCAGCGTGCCACAGTAAATCAGCTCGTGTGCCGCCTTTGGCACATGTGCCATAGGTTGCCGACCCCTGCGTTAGAGACTAACAAATTTATTTGGGCATAAGCTTTCGTGGGCTATAACCCACTTCATCAGATGCAAATTTGTTAGTCTCTAAGGTGCCATAAGTACTCCTTGTTATTTTTATGTTAAATGTGAATTTCTCCCCTTTGCTCCCACGCTCTCTCCTCTCCCTCCCTTCTCAGTCACTGCTGACATCTCCACTATCCTTCCCATCACCCAGACTTGCAACCTCAGCTGGTTGGGAAATTTCTTGTCGGAATGATTGTACAACGGATAATGCTCCTTTTGCAAAGCCAAATTTTTCTGTGGGAAAATTTCAATTTTGAAAAAAAAAAAAAAAAGATTTTCAATTAGGAAAATCAAAATGATAGCTTCCCAGCTCTCTGCCTGAAGGGGAGCTGCAGCCAAGCTTGTGGGGAAGCAGGGAGGCTGAACGTCTTGGCTCTCCACCTGCCCAGTTCTCCGGCAGTCCAGCTGCCTCTCCAAAGGGTAAGCAGGGAGACTGAAAGACAAGGAGGCAGAGAGCTGGAGTGCTGGATATAGGAGGGAAAGAGACATTGACAAGAGCCTTCCAGGCAGCCAGACAGCAAGCCAACCTAAATGAATTTTTTTGGAATGTCTGTTCTGTGAAAACTGTAGAGGTTTTATTTTTCGTCCCAAATTCCTATGCTTTAAAATTGTCCACAGGATAGAAATTTCAATTTCCAGCCAGCTCTAAACCTCCGTGATATCTTCAACACCTCAATCCTTCTCCTCTATCCAGGCTCTTGTTAAGCTTTGTCACTTCTTTCTCTAAAATTATTCTAAAATCCCCCCTTTTTCTTTTGTCTGCCATGACAAAACCTTATTAGCTGAATTTCAAAGGTACTGAGCATCCACTGCTCCTATTGACTTCAATGGGACCTGTGGATGCTCTGCATAGTTAACAATCAGCTCAGAGGGCCATTGATGAATCTCTTCTTAGTGTGAACCAGGAGGAAACAAATGTGAGCTATGAAAAAGGAAAGTTAACCTCCCCCCCCCAATATGTAAGAAACTAGCAAGTTTAGGGTAGGAGCTAGAAAAGGCCCCTTGAACCCACATTATTCCCCAATATTGAATCCATTAACGCTAGCCACTGCTGTGCCAGGTTATGATTCACACCTGGAGAGCTCTAAAAAAGAGACGTGATGCCCAAAGTGAATATACGTACCAGCCCTGACATTATGGATATCCTTTTCTATGCACTCGCGCCTTGGCTGATGCATGTGAAGACGCAGTTGCAGCTCCGAATTCAGCTCCTCTTTCTTGGCAGTTACAATGATCCAGGAGTTGGACAAGGATTGGGCAAACCACTTCTCGAGGTGCTCAAAAAAGCAGAGGCGGATCCTATGATTGAAAAGCAAACCCATTGCTTTGGGAGAGAGAGCGCATGCATGTGTGTGAGAGACAAAGGATTTCATTTTGCAGAAAAACTCTTCAAAGATCTCCGTAAAAAAAAAAAAAACAAGCTCTGAGGAGTCTGACTCCACTGAGATAAGGTTTCTCACCAATCGCACAACAGTGACGCTACTGTTTCGATCAAACATAAAGAATGTTAGCCTGCCGAACTTGTTATTCTCTTTACAGCATCTCAGTTCAATCATCCTGCCATGGATTTCTCTGATATAGTTAATCCACTGCTTTTAATAGAAATGCAACTGCTAAAATGCAGAAGAGTTGGTGCTCCGTCAAAATGAAGGGTGAGAAAAGGGACTTGGAGGGAGGGGATTTAGAGCTTTGAGCAAGGAACTGGAAGCTAGATGCTTTGAGTTCATGGCTCTGCCAATGCTTTGTTGTGTGACTGGACAAGGCAGTAACCTTTCTGTGCCTCAGTCTTTAAAATAAGGATAACATCTTCCTCACAGATGTGCAGTGAGACTTAAACGTTTGATGGAATGCAATATAAAATGTTTCTTATTATTCTTTTGGAAAGGTCATAAAAGGGGGTAGCATACAGATAACTTTTGGATGCTCATTCAATCTTTACCTCCAAACCTTCTGAGGTTTGTCAATTACTTAGGGGAAAGAAAAAAGGACAAACTACACTCTACTAACCGTTTCTTAAGCTCTGTAAACAAGCTGTCTGGTACAAGCACATTCTCCAGGTACACAGGAAGTGTTTTTTCTGCAAATTCAGCATAATAGATCTCGGAGGTCTTGGCCTTGCCTGTCTCCTCACGTCCAAGGACTGAGTAAGCGTTCCCACTAGAGGTGGTGAACACCTCTGCTATAACTTCACAGCTTTCAGCCTCACCATAATCATGGAACAGAACCTAGGAAGGTAACAGGAAATCATAATTTGTTATCTTTGCTACTGACAAGTTTTTAAAGACCTACTAACATGGGCCATACACAGGTTAATGTTGCGAACCTATGGATTTCAAGAACCATGAGCCATGTTCTGATTCCTAATTTGGAAAACAAAGCTATAATGAGCAAGCAAGTTTGTGCATCTCAGCATGCTGATATTTTGCTGTTAGCCTAGCAGTGTTTGTGCAAGGCAAAAAGTAGAAGGTGGTCATTCCATTTTTTTCAATCTACAGAGAAATGAAGAATATCCTAGTACTTCAGGGTGGTCACTAGCCTCGGGTCACCAGTACCTCTGTCAGTGTCTCCAGGAATAATACAAATGAAACTTTACAGCATAGCCAGCAAAAGGTTGGCATGGTTTGGATTTTTTTTTAAAGAACCTTATTAAGATGCTCTGGATAGAGATATATCCTCTTTGCTGAGTTTTATTATTATTATTTCAATCCCTTTGAAATATGAGCTGCAAATGCTCGGATATATGGGCTGAAAGGCTGTCTAGTTTCACTATAGATTTTGTAATTGCCTTTGTAGTCTTTTGTTGAAATGCTCTTTTGTAACTTCTTAGAGGGAGTTTCCTCAGCTATCCCTATGTTCCCAAAGCAATATTACAATTAGGAACTAGTGTTTCTTTCTGTCAGCTGTAAAATACACAAAGCAAAGAGTGATTTTCATCTGAGACAACCTTTGCAAAATGCTTACTGGTTCCCAGTTGGGTTGACCTAATAGGATCATTAATACCAAGGGATCAGAAGAATTCCAGTTCAGGATTTTGCTGCTGAAATGTGCAGAACACACACATGGCAAGGCCAGACATAGGATGAGGAATTAGTACTACACTAATTAGTTAACTTTCTTTTAATGTCTTGCCACCAACTATTCCGAGGCACCCCACTCACATAAAAGGCTGTGTTACATTGAGGCAATGACCATTTAGGTTCTCCACTAAGTACAGACCCGAAAAGAAAATATTGAGATATAGAGATAGTGTTATACCATCATCTTGGGCTGACAATACTAAATGAAGGAAGGAAACAGACCCATGTCGGAAAAGTCTCTTTTCGGCTGTTTCTTGGAAAAAGGACAGGAAAAGTGCATGAGGGAATGGTCATGCACTGATGTATGGGCTTCACCATCACACATACAGAATCTACATACCTAATGGTATATATTACAGAACATCACTAAACTAATTCAGTAAAGACCCATATGTGTTTTGGCTATATAAACATCAAAAAGATTTGCATTTGTGCTGAAGCTGATTTACCTTTATGAAGAAATTAGACCTACCTCAGACTCAGGAAGAATATCTTTCAAATAATCCATTTCTTCATACTCTTGTGCAGGACTGTCTCCATCCTCAAACCTATTTGCTTCACTTTCTGCACTGTCCTCTAAGTGTTCAGTTTCTTCACTTTCCTGAGCTGTGCTCTCCCCATCCCCTGGTTTCTCTGCTTCCTCAGTTTCTTGTACACTGCTCTCCTCATTCTCAACTGTATTTGTTTCTTCAGTTTTGTTTGTGAGGCTCTCAACCTGCTGCTCTGCTTCTGTACTTCCTTGTGGAAAGCTCTCAGCCTGTGGCTCGGTTTCTTCAGTTTCTTGTAGGAGGCTATCCCCCGTCATCTCTGCCATATGTTCAACTTCTGAGTCTTCAACAAATACTTCCCAATTAAAATAAGACAGAAATGTCATCAGTCATATTCCAAAGAAGCACAGATTGAAAAAATAAGACTTGTACGCTTGAGACATTACCTTGCTCTTCAAATGCAGAGCCCACCTCCCCGGGTAAGGTTGAGAAGAAAAAGAAACAAAAAGATACAAATTATTTGTTTAGAATAACATCAAGTTCACTTCACTTTCCAAAATTAATGTACTCCATCAGCATTTGAAAGTTCAAAGTAATAATGTACCATTAAAAGGAACTCATTTTAAAAATGTAATACAGATTTGGATGATTTTTTAATTCTAATTTTTCTGTTTTAAAATGTAGGGGAAGTTATTGAAACGTAGACATGAAAATGACAGATTTGAGACTAGGACAGAGGTAGGGATAGTGTGGGCAGATGATGCAAAAAGTCTCCCTCACTCAGCTCTGCCAATGAACCTCAGTCCTATGGTGGCCAAAACTCTCTTTCATTTGATATAATCTTTGATTGATTTGGATTTGAATGCAAGATCCCCAACAATGAAACAACAATGCATCAGCCAGATTTCAAATCATAAGAAGTTTGTTTTCTTTATACCTGTTTATAGACTTCCTTCACGCCAAAATACTGGCCAATGGATGAACTATAAGAAATCAATTCCTTCAGTATAGCTTCTGGGTAGGATGCTACTATCTTCACTATGTCTTGGTGAAAGGCCTCATACCTGTCAAATACCAGGTTGCTATTTAAGAGAATTCATTACATAATGTAATAAAAATTAAATGTGAACATAATATACATCTGCAGCTAATATGTGATGTAGAAGTGAAGTTGTTGGCATAAATCAATTTCCTGACCTATGTAGTCCCATTATCCAAGATCTTTAATTTCCAGGGCTACTGCAATGTTCTTGTGATTAAATCATTCATTTATTATGCTAGCATATCCTGGACTAGCTTAGCACAATACAGAACACTAATGTCAACCCAAGAAATTCAAATGAAAGAAATTTTTTAAAAATCACATATTTATTTATTTGTTTGTTTTCCCCCAACTCTTTAAAAAAGTGGAGTTTTGCGCCAACAGTTTTTTGCCCACTCTGAGCAAATGCAATAAGACAGGAGAGTACATTATTTGACAGTAGTCTTCCTGAAGGTGAAGTAGCTAGTGCAATTTTGGCTTTTCTACAAATGCATTCAAAATGCAACACAAATGTGATTGGAATGGTCTTATCAAGCATTGGACATCCTTCACGCAGAAAGTGTGTCACATTTTCTACAATCCAGAATACATACCCAGCTCTAATGACATCCAGAGAAGCAAAGGCCTTTCCTAAAAGACTCTTCAGCTTTCCCTCAGAGCTTTGTGTTCTCAGTTTGTCCAAAATTATATCCAGATTAGCTTCCCTTATCTAGGCCCATATGAAAAACAAACAATAAGCATAAAGCTGTAAGAAGCCCAAATGTTTCATATCTATTTAGGATTCAAGAAATTAGTTTCATGTACATGTCTGTATTTTAATTATACATTAGACAGTACTTTAAAGGGGCATTATTAAGGTTAACAGGCTCAAAATTTGATCTATCTTGTCTCCAATTCCTTATGTCTATTTACAGAAGGTAGGTTTCCCCCCCAAATCAGAGGCATCAATGCCCTTTAAAAAAGAATCAGTGATCACAGCACTGTGTGTATTTGCCCATGTGTGTAAGAAAGAATAATGGAGGGAAAGCATATATATAAGGTAAGAGAATTTTACTTTCAAGCTTTCAAGAACTTACTGTAAATAGCTAGCACATGCCTTGTGGGAGTTACATGCATTTACTCCAAGGCTATTGCTCTTTTGCAAACACAACATTTGTCACTGGCCAAGGCAGGTGATGTGAATCCCAACTGACCAAAACTACTCACGGCAGTCAGGCACTCCAGTGAACCACAGGAAGAGCCAAAGACTCACCTCTGCTTCTGGAGAAAACGGATGCCTCAGCTACCTCCAGAGTCTCACTGATACCTGGACTAGTCGTGGTGGCCCGTAATTTCAGGACCAAAGTAGTTACTGAAGATTCTAATGAGTAGAATTTGCCCAGGCAAAAGAACAATGAAGACTAGATAACATGTGAGAACACCTTTGTCTCAGTTCCCATCTGGGATGTTTGGCCAGGTAAATTCATCAAGCAGCACTACCTCATCCACTTCTTTGGGGCTCTATCAAGTGAGATTGTGATTGATGAACAACAGACATCCAGATTAGGCTTCTATATCCAATAATTCAGTCATCATTGGCACTTACTGCTTCCCCTGCCAAAGGCACAGGGAGATCTGGGAGACTGCACAAGACATTCCAGAAGGGGCAAATTGATCTTACACAGAGAGGGGAGGCCATGCTGCTTTCTTTCCAAAAGTTGGCAGGTATGAAAATCATTTAAAGATTCTGAACAATGCCTTCAAAATATCCTTTTATCAAGCCACAGAGCACAAATATGATGTGATAACTCAATATACATGCATGGTTCTGTAACTGCATAACATTTTACTTGTGAATATGCATGCAACTGTATATGAGTAATGATAAGGTTATAGTTGCTAGAGCTGGAAAATACCAATTTAGATAAATGAGATCAATCCCCTGCCAAGAATAAGATATAGTCCCCCTCAGAGGATGTATCAGATATTAGACTAATACACTTAGCAGTATGCAGCCACCTTCCAAACACAGAAACCATTAGAAACACTCCCACTTTAAGTTGTACTTGCTATAAAGGATTCTTTGAATACCAAAAGCATCTTTTTGCTAGGAAGTGCTTTCTTTATACCACACCAACGTTTTAGACTTTTGATTGTACCTGATTTAGGTTTTCATGCTTCCGCCGGCACTCATTCAGTTTCACCTGAAGTTCATTTTCTTGCTGGGACAGTTTTAGCTGATGTTCATCCCAGAGGACAATAGCTTGCTGGAAATATTTGTACAAGTCTTTGCAATCCTGTTCAATATGTTTAGCCAGATCCTCAAAATCTCTCTAAAACAATTAAACGGTTAGAACAAATTATCATTAAATTATTGTTAGACTATTATCTGGGAGTAGAGATGCATGAGTAGTAGGGGGATAGCTGACTTGCCACGACTGCCTAGAGGAATCCTACAATTACCTGATAAAGCAGAAGGTATATCAAGAATCAGAGAACACCATCTTTTTTCATGTCACTACCATCCATTCTGTTCTTGCAACTGTGCTAGTGGGAATTCCATTCCATCAACAATATAATTTCTAGCAGCACCACTTTCAATGACATATCAGACGATTAGAAGATAGCACCACAATGCTGTTTGGACGGGGGTGGGTAGGTAGTAGTCCAATACCTACTTGCACATCACTTTTCAGATTATGATATTTATAACTGATATCAGTATATGTACTATAATACTTTATTATTCCAAAACAATGGATGGAAAAATAGCTTTCTAACATCTAATATTCATGTGTAAATACATCAAAATAAAACATACACATATGGCTAAAGCTCAGATCATTTACCAAACAAAAAAATATTCACGTCATCTATCGTTGGTGGATAGTACAGGAAACTCACCTCTTTTCCTATATAAATTAGCACAGAATTAGCACAGGTTAAAAACAATAGCTAGTGTAAACAAATAGAAGAGGCCAACAAAATAATAATATTTTGCACTTTACATCATGTTCCATCTTATGATCTCAAAAGGTCACGCAACAAGTCAGTGACAGAGTCAGGAATAAAAACTAGATTGTCCAATACCCAGCTAGTACTTCAGCTAGAAGTCCATCCATCCCTCACAAGAGTAGCAACCACAAAGTGGAGCTCTGCATGAGCCCTGAATCATTTAGCCATCTGGAACCTTGAACACAACAGGCCAGTTGTTTTCATATATAGTCATTGTAAAAATAAAACCAAAACTTATGAACTATCATTGAATCGCCTCAAGCGTCTCTACAGGATAAGAGGTCAATGATATCATTGCACACTCTCTAACAGGGTATCAATAGACTAATGAAATGAAATGTGAAATTTTAAACCATCACAGACTGCAGGATAGATATTAGATTTGACTATTCTAAGGATGTAATAAAAAGAATGGCCTTAGTAAACGTACATCCATCTGTTCCAGCTCCTGTTCAAACTGACTCTGCAGCCTTCCAACCATCTTGAAGAAGTCAGGATTCACAACTGTTTCAGCCTCTTTCTCTGTGCAAACTTTTAAACTCAACAGTTTATTCTAAAGGAAAGGAATATTATGTTATTGACATGTACCTGGTATGCAGTGTTGTTGTAGCTGTGCTGGTCTCAGGATATTAGAAAGACAAAATAGATGATGTAATATCTTGTATTGGACCAACTTCTGCTGGTGAGAGAGACAAGCTTTCGAGCTACACAGAGCTCTTCTCCAGGTCTGGACCAGAAGCTCTATGTAAGCTCAAACACTTCTCTCTTACCAACACAAGGTGGTCCAATAAAAGATACTACCTCACCTACCTTGTCTCTCTAATGTACCTGGCATCCCAGTTAACATGTTGAGGTTAAACAAACTCTGTTGAACCATGCAACATGCATTCTTTTCTTTTGAACTGGTAGTTTTAGAAATAAATATCCAACTTCAGTATCTTTTCCTGAAGAAACTCTAAGTGGAGGAAAAATTAAGCTGGGAATAGGCAGTGGGTGTGCAAGGTGAGGAGTTATATACCCCTCCCACAGGAAGAGCACTAAGTCTTTGATGACATACTGTTTATAACAATCAGTAATAGTTTCAGAAAATGAATGCCTGTGATATTTGAGTCCTGTGATTGAATTGTAAATACTAGAAAACTGTAAATAATCGATGCTTTGTATTTACACATAGTCTGTCATCCTAAGCTCTCAAATCCCTTTACAAATGTGGATTTAAGCCTCAAAACCACTTTATGCAGCAGGTCAGTAGTATTATCCCCATTTTAAATATGGAGAAATTGAGGTACAGAGGTTAAATAATTTCCCCAAGGCCACAGAGCGAACCGTGGCCATGCTGGGGTCCTGACTCTCAATCTCCTAGCCTAAGTAGTGGACTCTCTTTGTAGGCCAAAAGCCTAATGGGGAGAAACTGTCTTGAGTAAATTGTACTCCATTTTGCTTATTTTGCTTTATACCCCATTTTGCTAGTTTTGAATTAGTAAGAAGAAATTGTTCTGAGTTTATTCTTTGCTGATTGTGTTAATGATTGTTCTTAGAAGGATAGAAGTTTTATGGCTGTAATTATTGCCTTATTTACTGTTTGGTGTGTGAGTGAAAAACGTATGGTATACTGATTAACTGAGAAGAGACAGCTGGGCCAGATGGTCAAGAGGGGAGTGGAAAGGCACCAACTTTATTATCAGAATCACCCAGATGGCAGATTGACGACTCTAAAGCAAAGGCATACACCCCAGGGACAAGATGAGGAGTTGAGCCAGAGGGACAAGATAAGAAACAGCTGAGGATCCTCCTGGTAAGCAACCTTGAATACCTCATGAATGACAGCTCCAGTGTAACACAGCATGGTCCATAGACTTGTATAGGAACTTATTACTATAAAAGAAGGGTGTATTGCCATGGGACTTTGGGTTCGTTCTGCATCAACATCGGAGCTTCGAATGTGTTCAACAGAGGCCCAGCTCCCCTCCCTCGTGTGCAGTTTCAGCTGGCCACTGGAACTGACAGAGCAACACGAAGGATTGGTGACAAAGATCCAGCCACAGAATCTTTTGGTGTGTGTGCACGTGCATGTGAATGGAAGCATATGCTGATTTTAATGCTTAAATTGTACTCTCAATAAACACGGCGTATTGCCTTATCCCCTTTAAAAAGATTCCGTGTGATTCTTATAAGCATAACATCTTCCCTCCACTAAATTAGTATTTGTTGTTGCTATTCTACACGTTCCAAATACAAATGCCACGTTATTGTGAAGAAAAGTACACAACATCATTTTGACTAACAGGATGAAAGAGAACTTTGTGAGTAATTTGGGTTGTCATGCTGAAATAGTGGGTCTCAAACCAGACATTATACTGGATGATCTGCTGCTACCAAAATCCTTCATTGGGTCTCCAAATTCAGCAACTTTCATTCTCATGACACTGACCTTGCATAGCTGTACATTGGCCAAACATTCCTGGCAAACTCTCTCATATTGGATGCGAATTATCATCATATGCTGCACATTATGGGTGTCTTTAAAAAAGAAGGAAAGGAAATAAGAGTCCAGTGTGAAGACTTCACCATTTCACATTGTAGCACATGTGAATGTGACTGAACAGTTGTGTCTAGCCTCACTCTACCCTAGTGGCATGCTTGACTCTCATGTATGGGCATTACCAGCCTACACCACGAGGCTGCCTCTACCCAATTTTTTTTGCCATTATGCTTAGTAATGGTGAACTGTTATTTTTATTACATTCTAACACTGTCTGTGCTGCTAAACAGGCTACAAATATCAAAACAGTTCCTGCCTAGAAAGTTTATAGTCTAGAAGACACACATATAGAAAGACAAGGCATACTGCAAAAATTAGAGGATGGAATCACTTTAGATAATTTTTTTTCTCATTCTAAAGAGAAAAAAACCTGAGAGACCAAGGTCAGGGCAGCATATGTATGTACAGACACACAGTACAGTTCAATCATGGCCTTAGAAATAAAATGATTGCTTAAATCCCAATTCATTGTCATGAATTCCTTGCTTACCTATATACTTGTTTAAAGCCACAAGAGATTCGTACCATTCATTTATCTCCGCTTTTGAATGTGTCGGAGGCAACAAATCACTATCAAAATAGGAAACAAGAGACACAATGTCATACATAATCCATTCCAGTTCTCAATGGGTTAAAACTGTGAAGTAGTATAATAGCACTATTGCTTTTCCACATTTTGTTTGTTAGAAGACAGATTTTCAGCCAAATCAGCAAGGCAAAACCATAGAGATGCCTGCAATTTCTGCAAAAAAGCTGCCTTCTGGAAAACGGATTAATTGTTATCTGTTTAGTTGCTATATTAATTTTAAAATGAAAAGGAATCATTACTTTAAAATTACAATATTTTAATAGGTTATACACATAGCAACTTTTCTGGTTTAGAATGGAAGGTGTCCCAGATATACAGTATGAGATTTCCAATGTCTCCTCTGCTGATTATTTACTATACATACTAAATTCTCACACCATTCCCAAGAGAGGCACTCAAACTTTTCAGTCAGGCCAAGTTAGGGTTATGGGATTTTCACCTATCCATTCATCCTGACTTGCCACTATTTATACTGTACTTTCAGAGCCACTGGTTTTTACATCAGGCTTATTTAAAGAAATTTGGGGTCTGATATATCATATTCCCTAGGTGCCCACCCCCCTTCCATTTCACTTTATCTACACGGATGTTACAGCCATTTTGGGGGCCCGAGCTCCAGTCCCTGGTACAATTGTCCCCCCTTTCCCTCCTTCTTATCATCTCTGCACATCACTACTTGCAGCTACTTGACGTTGCTAATAATGAAACATTTAATGACCCCTTCATTCAACACAACCTGCTCACTGAAAACCATGAGCATCACCTCACCGGTGAAAGATAAAAAGAAGTTTGGGGGCTCATTTAGTACTGTGTTGGTCCATTTTACAGTGGTAAATCAGGTGCATTATTCACTATAGCAAGAAACATTTTTTCTGTCTCTCGCTTCATACCAAAGTACTTGCAGAAGCTCCATTCTCTTTCTACTAAGTGAAATCTGGTCCTTTATCATGTTCTCCAAGTCTCTTTTTACAGCTGTGGGTTCCTGTACCTCCTTCCTTGCCATAAATTCTCTGCAGGACACAAATAACCATTTAAATAAAGATATGTTTGGGACAATCTGTATCTTGACATCTAAAAGTTATTTTGAACCAGATAGATTTAACCCCAGTCACTAAAAAGGAGCATAAATGCCAACATAATTGCTTGAACACTGTTAGCTTTACAAAGAGAACAGAATCAAAGATTATTTTGTAACAGAAACACAAATGGGGTCTTGTCATTTAGTTTTAATCCTACTAAAAATATAATCTGTTGCAGAAGTATGGACCTGAAACTGCGAACCACATAGTCCTTCTGTATGGTTTTCCAGTCCTTCAGCCTCTCTTGCCACTTGAGCCATTGAGACAGCTCCCTCTTCAGGTCTGCCTCCATCAGATTAACAAACAACTTGGCTATTGCCCTCTGATTGGCTAGTACGGCTTGGTTTATCATCTGTGTATTGGAAGATACAAACAGGAATAAAGGGCAGCACAAAGCATACAAAAATTTGACAGCTATTGTTTTTTAATCCAGTGCAATGCACTGAACTAGAAAAGACTGTTAGAAAGACAGTGGGAAAATGAGGAGTATTTTGTACAATACAGAACACTCCTCCTAAATTGGGATGACTGATTTGTTTGAACAACAGCACTGAACAAATCAAGAAGTCACAGATTCAGACATAGCACAATAATAGCCATATGCAATTTGAGAGGGTTTTAGACTTCCTCTGAAGCACAAGGTATTAGACAGTGATGACCTTGTCTACAGTCAGGAAATCTCCCATAGCTGTGGCGCTGCAACAGTGGGAGATTTCTTGAAAACTTCCATCTTAGGCACAGCCTTAGAGGCAGGATACTAGACATAATGGCTCAGTTGTATGATCCAGTAAGGTAAATGCTATAAATATAAAAATATGCTGAAAGAAAAGCCTTCACACAATATGCCCAGTTGAATTACACGAGTGAGCAAATGCTCTGATTTTGATCATATCGCTGTCAGCGCTTAGCTTGAGGGAACTGTATATATTAAAAGTGAAGGATGTTTTCTTTCCCTAATAGACAGTAACAAGGTATAGAAAATGGACCTATATATTTCAGAATGGAATGATTTGTTGAGTACTGGAAAATACTGATGTATGTCAGAGAGATAAGACAGCACCTGCATGGAGGAAACTGCAGGTGAAAAAAGTTATGAGAAATGATGATTCAGCTCTTGTATCTTTTCATTGTTAAGGAGGTGTGATAAGTTTGAAAGAGAGGTAGAAGAGTGGCTAACACTTCCAGACTGAAAGAGGAAGAAAATTAATCACTCCTTACAGTACACAGGGAATATTCCATCTTGCTACTTTCTCTATAGCCTCTCAGACAAATGAATGACTGCATATCAATATGAAAGATTTACCATGGCTTCAGTATGTATGAACCTGTGCACATCAGAGGGTGAGAGATAAGAAATATCCTCCAGAATCTTGGTATATTTCCTCAGTAAATCTTTTATCTGGGAAACCAAAGGAAAGAGAAAAGAGAAAGAGCCCAAAAAGTCAGTATTTCTTAAGATAAGTGATCTGAAATAAGACAGATGTTTTGTTTCCTTAAAAAAAAAAAAATTCAGTTGACTGAAATACACAGTCATAGCACAGATTCAAAGCTGGATGTATGACTTAAAATAAAACAAACTATTGTATTTTTCTTCTAAAATGTGATACCTTTAATAAAAACATGGCTGTATCAAATATTCTAGTAAGTATTACTAAAATCAACTGCTTCTTAATATACGTCACCCTTTAGATCAGTGGTTCTCAACCAGGGGTGTGTACCCCTATGGGTACACAGAGGTCATCTGGGGGGGGGGGGGGG